CTACAGTGCATGAGGTGGTATATAATGTCACATCTGGCTATTTCTACTTCTAGGAAAAATGAACAACCAGATGCAGTGCTCAAAGTTCCAACCACTGGGAGAATTTCTCTTCACCACTGTCCTTCAGGGATGTCCCAGAACAGGATTGTAGTGCTGTCCAGGTGGTGTCTGCCTATCACACAAAACCATCTGTAAACCAGGCCTAAGTGTTTTCTAACTCTAATGGAAATCCCCATGAGGCCACGAGTGCAGGCTAGGAGAGTACTGTAGCACGAGGGGGAACCATGGGCTTTGGGCCACTTCTTCCCATAATACGTGCCTTCAGGGCCTGCTTAGGCCTGATCACATATATCCCACTTACATTTGATGATGGAAATACTACTGTGTACACCACCCAATTTAATGATGTGGTGGGTCACATAACACCCCTTTCATGATGGGTAGTACAGGTTGCAGGGTAACTTGGTGGCCCATGATTAAATGTTCAGTCTCTATTAAGGTCCCATAGCAGTCAAAACTGCCTTGAAAGAGTTGTTTTCTAAAAATGAAGACAGGGCTTTGCTCTAAAATCCTAAGGGCCTGCACTGTGATTCCTTTGTTGGGCCCTGCCAAAGACTCCAAACAGCATCCCTCTCTGCCACTGACACTTGACGCACCATTAGATTTGTTGGATCATGTGGCCCAAGTGGCATAGCAGCTTGCACAGCAGCCTGGACCTGTTGGGCAATTTTCTTTTGTTCTGAGATCCACTGTAAACTAACAGCTTTTTGGATCACTTGGTAAATGGCCAGCAGAATAGCACATCCAAGTGAGGAATGTATTGCCTCCAAAATCCAAAGAGGCCCCCTATGCATTGTGCCCCTTTCTGACTGTAGAATTTATCCTCCATCTTAGAAGAGATATCTCACCATGCTCCACACCACTGGACCCCTGGGAATTTCAGTGCGGTAGGAAGCCCCTGATTTCTTGTTGGATTTCTTTCCATCCTCTGACATGCAGTGTCTTATCGATAAATCTAGAGTACTTGCTACTTCTTATTCACTAGGTTGAATCAGTGTAATGGCATCAATATAATGGATCAGTACAGTATCTTTGGTTTGTTTGTTTTTTGAGACAGAGTCTCGCTTTGTCACCCAGGCTGGAGTGCAGTGGCATGATCTGAGCTCACTGCAACCTCCACCTCCCAGGTTCAAGCAATTCTCCTGCCTCAGCCTCCTGAGTAGCTGGGATTATAGGTACATGCCACCATGCCCAGCTAATTTTTGTATTTTTAGTAGAGACGGGGTTTCACCATGTTGGCCAGGCTGGTCTTGAACTCCTGACCTCAGATAATTCACCCACGTTGGCCTGCCGAAGTGCTGGAATTACAGGCATGAGATACTGCGCTGGGCCCAGTAGTAGTAGAAGGAAACAGCAATCAAGATCCCTGTGAACTAAATTATGACATATGGCTGGAGAGCTGATATACCCCTGAGGTAGCACAGTGAAGGTATATTACTGTCCTTAACAATTAAAAGCAAGCTACTTATGGTGGTTTTAAATAACAAGGATGGAGAAAAAAGCATTTGCCAGCTCCGTAGCTGCACACCACATAGCAGAGGATGTGTTAATGTCCTGAAGCTAGAAAACCACATTTGGGGGCCTGGTGCGGTGGCTCACGCCTGTAATCCCAGCACTTTGGGAGGCCAAGGTAAGTGGATCATGAAGTCAGGAGTTCAAGATCAGCCTGGCCAACATGGTGAAACCCCATCTCTACTAAAAATACAAAAATTAGCCAGGCCTGTAATCCCAGCTACTCGGGAGGCTGAGGCAGAGAATTGCTTCATCCCAGTAGGTAGAGTTTGCAGTGAGCTGAGATCGTACCACTGCACTCCAGCCTAGGTGACAGAGCGAGACTGCATGTCAAAAAAAAAAAAAAAACCAGAAAATAAACCACAGCTGCTACAGCAGCTACAACTGGAGGCACCACCTGGTTAAGCTTATGATAATACAGTATCATTCTTCAAGACCCATTTGTCTTCTGCAGAGCCAAATAAGCAAGTTGAATGGGGATAGGGTGGCCCCACCCCCTGTATATTTTTCTTAGTGGTGGTACTAATCTCTGCAATCCCTCCAAGAATGAGGTATTGCTTTTGATTTACTATTTTTGCAGGTGGAGACAGTTTTAGTAGCTCCACCTGTCCTCTCCCACCATAACAGCCCTCAGTCCACAGGACAGATAATCAATGTGGGGATTCTGCCAGTTACTAAGTAGATCTAGTCCAAATTATGTTTATGGTACTGAGGATACAACCACAGAATGCTTCTGGGACTTGCTGTGCCCACTGTGAAACAGACCTGAGCTAAAACTCCATTCATTACCTAGCTGCCATAAGCCCCTACTCTGACTGGTAGATGACAGTGATGTTTTGAATCTCCTGGAATTAAGGTCAGTTCAGAGCCAGTGTCTAATTTAAAACAATTTAATAAATATGAAACAATAATTTATTGTGATAAAATGCAAAACGGCCATGAAAGAACATTTCAAAGAAAATACCTCTTTAGGGTAACTATCTTGGAAGATAGTTGATAATCCTTTGGTGGAAGTTAAATAGTTGGGAAGTCTACTAAAGTGTTAATTGATTTGTGTAAGTGGAAGACTTCTAGGTCAAGTGAACAAAAGCATAACTTGATTAATAAAGACAAAGTCAGTGTCCCTCAGTGAATACCCAGACTTGAGCCAGTGAAGAGGCCCAGAAGCCCTTGAACAAAGGGGAGGCCAGGTCACCTTGAGGAAGACCACCAGTATACTTCCAGAAATTGATACTGTTAATCTTTCTCCCAGTCTTCCAAAAGGGACCTATGGCTTTTATTAGAGTGACTGTGCAGAGACCAACACTGAGTTCCCAGTATGGCACCATTCTATGGTGGCATGTTGGTTACACTGGATTGCTTTTTTCTCACTGAAATAGACACTGGATATGGATATGCCTTCTTTACACAAAGTGCTGCCACCAAACTAACCTGAAAAGTAATCCCTGTAAGGTCTGATTATTTATTTTCCCCAATACACAGTATCTATGGAGCCCAGATACCTGCATTCTCTTATGTAGTTACTACATGCACATAACCTCGAAGTCTTTCATTCACACTTTAACTCACAAGTCCCATTCAAACACACAAAATCTCACACGATCTCCAACTCAATCGTAATCCTTTAAAACATACGCATCAATCTCAAAGCCACAATAATCTAATCACGTACCCCATCACTGTCATACAATCATCCAGAGACTCGAGCATATTCACAAACCACATTCACATACAGTCATCCCTCAGTGTCCCTCCAGGACCGCTCCCTACCAAAATCCACAGATGCTCAAGTCCCTTATATAAAATGGCATAGTATTTGCATATAATCTATGGAAATCCTCCCGTATTCTTTAAACCTTCTCTAAATTACTTATAATACATAATAACCATGTAAATACGATGTAAATAGTTTTTATATTCTATTGTTTTAGGGCATGATAACAAGAAAAAAAAGTCTGTACAAGTTCAGTACCGATCCAAACATCAATTTCTTTTCCCAGGTATTTTCGACTGAAGGTTGGTTGAATCCACAATGCAGGATCTATGGATAGGGAGGGCCAACTGTACATCATATATTTCACTCACTTTCTCAGTGACAGTTTCAAGTGCAAATCATCTCACATACATGAATAAGAATCAGACACAAGCAGAATCACTTGTTCTCAAACAAGCACCATTTTCTCATATTACACTTGGTGACGGAGTTACTGGTCTCTCAGCAAGGTTAAAAATCCTTACCAATGATCTGTCCTTTCTGGGAGATGACATGTACCAGCTTCCACTCCTCTTAGTCAGCTCTGGACTCAACACACAAACACAGAGTCACCTCACACCACTCCTATGAACATAGCCAAGGTTCAGGACACCCTGCTCCAGAGATCTGTCATGCATCCATCTCAGCCTCTCCTGGTCCCAACTAGCTTCTTCCCTTCTCAGGGACCGCCACAGTCACACTAGTCCTCTAATCATGGGTGCACCCAGCGCAAAACGCCTCACAGCATGTCACACGGTCCCTGTGCACGTGGCTGCGCTCCCGCAAACATGGTAATCACACGCGTCCAGACGGCCTTTCACACTTAAGCCACATCACGTATTACCCCACAGGGGCCACTGAGGGAGTGGCGGTGTGCTTGCCGCATGAACCCACGCGAACATACTGCACACCCATTCTCAAAAGGGCTCAAAACCGTTTCACGACCCGGCGCGGCTCACGCCTGTCATCCAACACTTTGGCGGTCGAGCCGGGAGGATCGCCTGAGCCCAGGAGTTCGAGACCACCCTGGGCAACACATCGAGACTGTTGTCATTACCAAAAAAACAAAAATAAATCGTCTTGGCCAGGCCCGGTGGCTCACGCCTGTAATCCCAACACTTTGAGAGGTGGATGCGGGAGGATGGCTTGAGCCCAGGAGGCGGAGACTGCAGTGAGCTAGGATCTCGCCACCGCACTAGGCCCAGGCAACAGAGCAAGACCCTGTCTCAAACATTAAAAAAAAAATTTTTTTTAAATCGTTTCACATACAAATCTCACGCGCTACACCCTCATAATCGGTTTCACATCCACCTTCTCCGGACTCCCCTTAGGACAAGTCTCGCAACAAAACACCTCTCACCACAACTCCACAAAGGGAGGCCGGGGTCGTCTGCGCCTGTCAAAAATTATCTTCAGCCACAGTCCGCGGCGGCTGCCTTGAGGGAGTCAGGGCAGCCGCCGTGCCTGTTCCGAAATCCGTCCTCGGCTGGACTCGAAGTCCGGAATCCGGAAACGAACCCTAACAAGTGGGCGTCACTCCAGCCTTCGGTGAAATTGCGCAAGTGCAGCCCGGAGCCGGGCCTAACGCTCCCTCTCCAGCCCAGGCGCTCTTCCCTGAGACTGCATTTCCCAGAAGACACCGCTGCCCATAGCTACTTCCGGTAGGAACCTCAGCGGGATGGTCTAGGGTTAAGAGGCACGTAAAGACGTCCTGGGCCAGTGGAGAAGGCAGAAGTGTTTGTATGGTCTCGCCGGGAATCCGAATCAGAACTTGGACCAGACCCCTCCCTGAGGATGCTGAAGGTGAGAAATCCTGGCTAGCCAGTGTCGTGGAAGAGAAATGTCTATAGTTTTAGGCCTCTGAGTGGGGGATCACCCCTTATGTGGGTGTGTTGTGAGTACATTAGGAAGTCGGGTTTATCTTTGGGCTAATCGTGTGTTAGTGGTATGACAGCGACAGTGGGTGTGCTTTTGTGACAGCGTGATTATGTGTCTGATCATTTGTGTGAATGGGGTTTGTAGGGACTGTGACCGTGATTATGAGTGGCTATTTGTGTTAAATCCCATTTATATGAAAGAAAAAGCACATTTACACAAACTGTTATCCTCGGGCTCACACGATCAGGCAGATAGCTATCACTCCTCTCAAGTCAATTCTGGTCTGTCACACACAATTAGACACACACGCAGTCACCTAACCCAGCTCCTCTGTACACATCTAAGGCTCAGGACGCCCTGCTGTAGAGCATCATTCATCCATCTCAGCCCCTCCTGACTACTTGTGGAGTCACCTGTAGGTATACACACACACACACCACAAGCTAAAATCACATTGCCACCCTGCATTTATCATCACAGCCTCATAAATACACCACATATGTAGTATGCTTATGTACATATGTGTTTATTTTTTCTAAGATTAGGCCACAATGCACATTGTTCTGCAACTTTTTATTTATTTATTTGCGACAGAGTTTCACTCTGTCACCCAGGCTAGAGTGCAGTGGCGCGATTTCGGCTCCCTGCAACCTCTGCCTTCTGGTTTCAAGCAATTCTCCTTCCTCAGCCTGCTGAGTAGCTGGGATTACAAGCGCCCGCCACCATGCTTCGCTAAATTTTGTATTTCATCGTGTTGGCCAGGCTGAACTGGAACTCCTGATCTCATGATCCGCCCGCCTCATAAATACACATATGTCGTGTATTTATGAGGCTGTGATGATAAATGCAGGGTGGCAATGTGATTTTAGTTTGTGGGGTGTGTGTGTGTGTGTGTGTGTGTGTGTGTGTGTGTATACCTGCAGGTGACTCCACAAGTAGTCAGGAGGGGCTGAGATGGATGAATGATGCTCTACAGCAGGGCGTCCTGAGCCTTAGATTTGTACAGAGGAGCTGGGTGAGGTGACTGCATGTGTGTCTCATGATCCGCCCGCCTCAGCCTCCCAAAGTGCTGGGATCACAGGCGTGAGCCACCGCGCCTGGTCTGTGCAGCTTCTTACTAAAAGATATTTATTGTGGGGAACACTCCCGTGTGAGACCCCTAAAAGGCGTGAGTCTCACTATACGGTGAATTTGATCCCAAACACAGTTTCCTACTGGAGGCAGTCGAGCTATCCGGAAATATAGGAACTGAAAGATGAATGATCAGTTTCTAATATCAACCACAATATCATTTTGGGCCTAAAACTGTGCGTTGCTGCTAGACCGAGTAACCCCCTACCAGCAACCGGTTCCTGCTTTTAACCTTTTTATGACTTTAAGAATAAGTTTTAACCTTTATTTACCAGACTGCCTTGTACCCTAGATAATGGTTTAACTGTCGATATTTGCAAAGAAAAATGCCACTATAAGGGATGACTTTGATTCCTGACTCAGAGATTCCTGAATGGGGAAGTTGAGTTAAGTTGAGTCAGGAGTAGACAAAGGAGAATCCAATTAAAAGATATTCTGATGAGCAGTTCTAAAATAAGGTCAAACCAGAGATACCTGCAGCCAGGAGGAATAATGTTTGGATATAAACAAGCTTTGAATAATGTTTGGATATAAACAAGCCTTGTGAATAATGTTTGGATATAAACAAGCTTTGTGAATAATGTTTGGATGCAAACAAACTTTGTGATTGTAGAAAATTTTGTTACTTTTTACAACCATTGATCGCATATCTGACTTCTCTATTGTATAGGCCATGTGAGGCATACATTTACATTCCTCTTACTATGACGTAAACCAAAGCCAAGAAAGTGTATTTATTCCTGGCCTTTGAAAAATCAAATTTGCTGTTTAGGCACAGCCTATCAGCCCTCCAGACGCCTCGCTTTCTCTCTCTCTGTCTTTATTAATTTTCCAGGTGCACTCCCTCTTCCAGGTATTGGGACCCTCTTGCAGGTCGAGAGACCCCCGGGCAGACATGCCTACCCGTCCCGAACGGTCCACGACAATTTATGTCCTTTTGTCTGTATTCAAAGACAAACAATATTTCCCAGGATGTTTGCAGGTGTGATTCTTCTTTAATTCTTACAGCACTGTGCTTCAAACTAAAGACTCAAGAATATATTTTGGTCTGGAAAATTTTGCTCTATTTATTTATTCTCTTCCATCTGTGTTGTTTTAACCTCTACTTTTGAAATTCCTGTTATACATACATTGGGTCTTTTGGGTCTGTTTTCTATCTTCCTAGTCTTTTCACATAATATCCATTTCCTTTTCTTTCTCCTCTTAATTCAGTGAAAATCTGCTCAGGGCATTTCTCAGCACCCTGGTCCTGACTTCCATTTCATCGTAGTATTGGGACACTAAGCTGGCCTAACTATCCCTTCTGCTGAAGAGCCTGGTCCTTGCTTTTCGTGAGTCTATCCTGCTATAGCTGCGTTTCCTTATGGTTTTGAGTAAAGCTAGGATTTGTTCAGATTCCCTCTAATCATGTATGTATGTGTGTATCAGATCTGGGAATAGGAGATATGAAGGGGGAAGAAAAATGTCATTCTGAATTAACATTTTGGGAGCTTAGAGGCAATAATCTTCTGTCTTTTCTTTTGCTCCCCTCTCCCCCAGCAACACCTTTGGATTGAGTTTCTTCCAGAGGGAACCAAGAAGAGGATTAATTAATACATTCAATTGTAAAATAAGCCATGGCCCATGTAAGTTGGTTTTTTCTTGATCCTAATTCAAATAGTTTGTGTGTGTGTGTGTGTGTGTGTGTGTGTGTGTGTGTGTCTGTGTGTGTCTATGTGTGTGTGTGTAGGGCATGTGACTACTTGCATTTATTTATTTATTTATTTATTTGAGACATAGCCCCACTCTGTCTCCTAGGTGGGAAGGTTGGAGTGCAGTGGTGCAATCTTGGCTCACTGCAGCCCCTACCTCCCAGGTTCAAGTGATTTTTCCATTTCAGCCTACCAAGTAGCTGAGACTACAGGCACATGCCACCATGCCCAGCTAATTTTTGTACTTTTAGTAGAGTTTCACTAGGCTGGTCTCAAACTCCTGCCTCAAGTGATCCGCCCATCTCAGCCTCCCAAAGTGGTGGGATTACAGGCATAAGCCACGCGCCCGGTCTGGGTTCTTTATTCTGACATTGTTTCTTATCTGAGAATTATACAATAACTTACTATTGAGTAAGTGATGGTGCCAGAATTTCAGGCCCTTCATTTTTTGCTCCTCTCCACTCCAACCCATTTTCATATACTTGTTAAATAAATCATTCTTCATCTCCCTTATGTGCAACCTATTAACAGAAACAAGTAGAGAATACAAATAATATTCTTTTAGGCCGGGCGCGGTGGCTCAAGCCTGTAATCCCAGCACTTTGGGAGGCCGAGGCGGGTGGATCACGAGGTCGAGAGATCGAGACCATCCTGGTCAACATGGTGAAACCCCGTCTCTACTAAAAATACAAAAAACTAGCTGGGCATGGTGGCGCGTGCCTGTAATCCCAGCTACTTAGGAGGCTGAGGCAGACTTGCCTGAGCCCAGGAGGCGGAGGTTGCGGTGAGCCGAGATTGCGCCATTGCACTCCAGCCTGGGTAACAAGAGCGAAACTCCGTCTAAAAAAAAAAAAAAAAAAAATTCTTTTAAAGTCAGACATGGTGGCTCACACCTGTAATCCCAATGCTTTGAGAGGCAGAGGCAGCCAGATCATCGAGGCAGGCAGATCACCTGAGGTCGGGAGTTTGAGACCAGCCCGACCAACATGGAGGAACCTTGTCTCTACTAAAAATACAAAATTATCCAGGTGATGGGCACCTGTAGTCCCAGCTACTTGGGAGGCTGAGGCAGGAGAATCACTGGAACCTGTCAGGCACAGGTTCCAGTGAGCCAGGATCGTGCCATTGCACTCCAGCCTGGGCAACAAGATCAAGACTCTGTCTTAAAAAAAAAAAAATTGGCCAGGCGCGGTGACTCAAGCCTGTAATCCCAGCACTTTGGGAGGCCGAGGCGGGTGGATCACGAGGTCAAGAGATCGAGACCATCCTGGTCAACATGATGAAACCCCGTCTCTACTAAAGTGCAAAAAATTAGCTGGGCATGGTGGTGCGTGCCTGTAATCCCAGCTACTCCGGAGGCTGAGACAGGAGAATTGCCTGAACCCAGGAGGCGGAGGTTGCGGTGAGCCGAGATCGCGCCATTGCACTCCAGCCTGGGTAACAAGAGCGAAACTCCGTCTCAAAAAAAAAAAAAAAAAAAAATTAGTGTTTCTCTTGTCAGAACTTGATTTGATAAGGTGATTTAACAAATATTTATTGAGTACCTACTATGCGACAGGCCATTCTTCTGGGTAACTAAGAATAAATCAGTGGGAAAAAAAATCACATATATGCAAATCTTCCCTTCTGAAGTTTAACTGGTAGTGAGAGATAGAAAATAACTTATGTATTGTAAGACTTAAGACACACACCCAGATTTATGCAGAGAGAGTAAGCAAGACAGAATTAACAAAATAATTGCATGATGAAAGCCAGGCACAGTGGCTCATGTCAGTAATTCCAACACTTGGGGAGGTTGAGGCAGGAGAATCACTTGAGCCCAGGAGTTTCAGAATAGTCTAGGCAACATAATAAAACCCGATCTCTACAAAAAAATTTTTTTATTAATCGGCTGGGTGTGGTTGTGTGCACCTATAGTTCTAGCTACTCGGGAGGCTGAGGCTGAGGTGGGAGAATCACTTGAAACCAGGAGATTGAGGCTGCAGTGAGCTATGATCACACCACTGCACCCCAGCCTGAGTGACAGAGAAAGACCCCGTTTCAAAAAAAAAAAAAAATGTACATGATAAAATTAAGACCAGAGAAAAAAGAAAACAGACTAAATAAGATTGAGGCCACATCACAGAACTACACATGGCCCAAGGACATTATATACTTTTAAAGTATAAATCTCAAAATGAAGATACAATAGTTCTGAATACATGTGTATTGAATATCATAGCAGTACCTCTCCTAAAGCAAATTTTAAAGCAGTTAGAAGAAATAGACACTTGCCAGCAGTAGGAGACATTAATTCACTCTTCTCAGTCTAAATCAGGCCAAGTAGACTAAATTTAATAAGGGAATAGAAGTATTAATCCACATACTCTATCTGGTCTACATTATTGATGCATTTATGTTAAATTTGGTATCCTGATACTTGTTAATATTCATTCTTCTTTCAAGTGGCTATGGAACATTCAGTAAAAAATGACATCAACCAAAACCACAAATGTATTTTCCATTTCAACCCTGCAATCCTTAACTCCTGGTACTTTTTCTTATAGATATACCTATATTTGTATGAAATGATAAATCCACAAGGGCATTCATTGCACTATTGTTTGTAATAGCCAAAGACTAGAAATAATGAATTTATAGGTTTAATTGATAAACTATAAGTATTAATATAAATAGTTGAATTATATATACTTATGTAAAAATGAAGAAGCTGTTCACCACAGATATGGCAAGATCCTTTGTAATTAATAAGTGAAAAATATCAGTACAAAACTGAGTATTTTATAGTGTGTTATTGTTTGTATAAGAGGCTGAAAAATTATATGTCTATATATAAGTTGTTTATCCATGGGGGCAAGAGATGGGAGACAAGATGGAAAGGAGAGAAATGAGACAAGACATATGAATGTTTACCTTTTTAGTTCTTAACCATTTAAGAAAGGAAAATAAAATATAAAAATATGCCAGGTGCAGTGGCTCATGCCTGTAATTCCAACACTTTGAGAGGTCACAGCAAGAGGATTACTTGAAACCAGGAATTTGAGACCAGCCTGGGCAACAAAGACCCCATCAGTACAAAAAAAAATTAGCTGGGCATGGTGACATGTGCCTGTAGTCCCAGCTACTTGGGACACTGAGGCAGGAGAGTTGATTGTGCCTAGGAGTTTAAGGTTGCAGTAAGCTATGATCTTGCCACTGAACTCCAGCTTGGGTGACAAAGTGAGATGCTCCCCCATCCCTACCCCCAAAAAGAAAAATAAAATGTAAAATTACAAATCTGTTATCAAAGTTTATCATTTTCTCTAGCCATTTTTAGCTACTTAGATTCAGTGATGGAGTAGGAAGAGAGATGGATTTATCAAGGATTCAGGCTTTGTCAAGCAAGTGTGAAATGAGAGGGTTAAGGGAGTTCATGTTGGGAGTGATTGAGCATGGAATTTAAGTCGGGTAAGAAGAGAAGAAGTATGGAGTGGGGTAAGTGCTAACGTGAAGGTGATCAGAGAAGGATACTTCATGTTTTGGAGGTGATGCAGTTATTGCTAATCACAAGGTCTAGAGTAATAACATGGGGAGTGAGTGAAGTAGAATGGAAGATAAGCTCATAGAAAAGTAGAAGAGGTTAAGGAATTGGGGCCATGATATTAGAAGAACTCAGTATATGGCTATTTGAAGTCACTGAAAATAAAGATTAGTAGTATTAGAGTTAGTGATACTGAGCCAGGAGCTAAAATTCCTGAGGGGCAAAAGCCTGCATATGAACACATCACTGCAACAGAGAGAGATAATACATGGTATAGGCTGATGAAATGATGGCATTAGATTTTAGAGAAGGGGACCAGGCATGGTGTCTCACACCCATGATCTCAGTACTTCAGGAGGCTGAGGCAGACAGATCAGTTGAGGTCAGGAGTTCGAGACCAGGCTGGACAACATGGTGAAACCCTGTCTCTACAACAAATACAAAAATTGGCCAGGCGTGGTGGCTCACGCCTGTAATCTCAGCACTTTGGGAGGCCGAGGCGGGTGGATCACGAGGTCAAGAGATCGAGACCATCCTGGTCAACATGGTGAAACCCCGTCTCTACTAAAAATACAAAAAATTAGCCGGGCATGGTGGCGCATGCCTGTAGTCCCAGCTACTCAGGAGGCTAAGGCAGGAGAATTGCCTGAACCCAGGAGGCGGAGGTTGCAGTGAGCCAAGATCGTGCCATTGCACTCCAGCTTCGGTAACAAGAGCGAAACTCCGTCTCAAAAAAAAAAAAAAAATACAAAAACTACCCAGGTATGGTGGTGTGCACCTGTAATCCCAGTTACTTGGGAGGCGGAGGCATAGAATTGCTTGAACCCGAGAGGCAGACGTTTTAGTGAGCCAAGATCGCGCCATTACACTCCAGCCTGGGCAACAGAGTAAGACTCTGTTTCAAAAAAAGAAAGGATGTTAGAGAAGGAAAGACAGTTGTCTGACACCAATAATGAGAAGCAAAGAGGACAGTGGTACGAAGGCTGTGGGAGGAAAAAAAAAGCCAGCACTTGAGGTGTCCTCAGGGAATTAATGGTTAATTAAATCACACATGGAAAATCTTGTAACTTCACAACTTGGGGTTTTCCAGTGAGATGTAGTAGGAACTGGTGTTGGGTGATCTCACTGAGCAGAAAGACTTTGCTGTGTGAAGCTTTAGGATTAGATGGAGATAGGATTGGTGTTTATGTGGAAAAATTGAAGATCTTGCTGGAAAATAGATGATCATCAATTACAAACTCCAGTTTTAGACTGAATAGAATATGTTAGACTTGGGTCACATCTATGAAAGTCTGGATTATTCTATATTAATATTCTTTAATTTAGGAGCATAGTATATATACAGGGAAAGACGGTAGATGATGACAGTTAAGATTTATATGTAACCTTAGAAAAGACCTTAGAGATTTTGTTTACCCCAGAGATTCAAGTTTAAGAGAATTATTAAATCCCTTATTGTAAGATTAAATAAGGCTGGGTGCAGTGGCTCATGCCTGTCATCCCAACACTTTGGGAGGCCAAAGTGGGAGGATTACTTGAGCCCAGGAGCTCAAGACCACCCAGGGCAATATAGTGAAACCCTGTGTCTTAAAAAAAAAAAAAAAAGATCAAATGTTGTGCTACCAATAAAAATCATATTACAGTTACAATAACTATTGCCAGATAACAAACCACCCCAAAATTTAGTAGATGTAAAACAAAAGTCATGGTCAAGCTTGCAAATCCACAATCTCAGCAGAGCTTAGTAGGGATCGCTCACCTCTGTTCCATGTGGTATCAGCTGAAATGGCCTGATTGGGAGCTAGCTGACCCACTTTCAAGATGTTCCCTCACATGGCTTGCAAGCTGTTGCTGGGTGTTGTTTGGGGAGCCTTCATTCCTTTTCCCATGAGCTATGCCATGGGCTGGTTAGGCTTCCTAGGAACATAGTGGCAGGATTTCCAGAATGAACATTCCCAGAAAGTAAGGCAGAAGTATGAGATGTTTTTGTGATCTAACCACAGAAGTCACATAATCACTTCTGCCATATTCTATAGGTTGAATAAGTCACAGATGTCCTCTCAGGTTCAAGAGAAGGGGACACAGACCTTTACACCAGTTGGAAGAGGGATGTCAAGGTTACACTGAAGAAAGATATTTGGGATGCAAAATACTGCTTTGTCCATCTATGAAAAATATAGTCTGTACCAGATGTGTACTAAAGAATTTGCAGGAAAACTAAAAATACCTATGGCATGATAGTCACAATCATGAAGAAAATTCTTCAAGTTCTTTTTCTCAAGATAGAGATTTTAATAAGACATTTTAGAAAGATTTAAAAGTTTTCAACGATTTAATATAATAGGGAGCCTCTACTTATTTTCTTAATTTCTAGATGACTGATTAACAGGAATTTCCCACCTACTCAAGAAGATGCGTCTGCAGAAATTGAATTGTTTAAGAACATGTAGGCACTCCACTTCAGTCACACTAAATTCCTGTTTGACCCATGTCCCAGGCTTAGCCTGTATACTCAATAGACTGTCTCCTTTCTTGCAGTGCCTTCTTTTAGCACCTCTCTTTTCTTTTTTAAAAATGTTTCTTATAATTTCTAAAATAGTACTATGACTTGTCATTTTAGGAGTTGGTGATGTTCAGAGATGTGGCTATAGATGTCTCTCAGGAGGAATGGGAATGCCTGAACCCAGCACAGAGGAATCTGTACAAGGATGTGATGCTGGAGAATTATAGCAACTTGGTGTCACTTGGTAAAGTTATCTAAAAATTAAAAATCTCTCCAAGTACTTTCCTCAGTTAAAAAGAAAAAAAGAATCTGACAATTCAGAATTCCTCTAACAATTCATAATGTACTTCTTGGAATTCCTGCTTTCTCCCCTATTAGGGCTTAGCTTTCAAATAACTGGATGAATTTTCTCTTTATGTATTGCAGAAAGAAGCACAGCTAAACAGAGATTCATTTTCATTTTCCCCATCCTTCCGTGTTCTTTTGGTCCTTTCTTATAACTCTTCCTTGATGTTTAAGGGGCAGAACTGGAAATCTGTAATGTTAATGCATACACTATCAAAGAAACCAGACTCTCTTTTGTTTCACTTCCACTGTACTAAATCTGCCAATGTACTAGCATAAGATTAAAACTAGACACTGGGTTCCAAGAGTGAACCTTTTTCCTTTCCTGGGTAATAGAGTGGTAGGCTGGAGTAATAAATGTTTATTTACTATTCTCAAATGAACACTTCTCCATTTCCTATGATAAATGTACTCTCTTTTATCTTTAATTTTTTAAATTTTTTAATTTTACTTTTTTTTTTTTTTTTTTTTTTTTGAGACCGAGCTTTGCTCTTGTTGCCCAGGCTGGAGTGCAATGGCATGATCTTAGCTCACGGCAACCTCCGCCTCCCAGGTTCAAGTGCTTCTCCTGCCTCAGCCTCCCGAGAAGCTGGGATTACAGGCATATGCCAACACACCCAGCTAATTTTGCATTTTTTAGTAGAGACAGGGTTTCTCCATATTGGTCAGGTTGGTCTTGAGCTCCCAACCGCAGGTGATCTGTCTACTTTGGCCTCCCAAAGTCCTGGGATTACAAGTGTGAGCCACCGTGCCTAGCCTTTTTTTGTTTTTATTTTTTTAACAGAGTTTTACTCTTGTCACCCAGGCTGGGGTACAGTGGCACAATCTTGGCTCATTGCAACCTCCATCTCCCAGTTTCAAACAATTCTCCTGCCTCAGCTTCCTGAGCTGAGATTACAGGTGCCTGCCACCATGCCAAACTAATTTTTGTATTTTTAATAGAGACAGGATTTCACCATGTTGGCCAGGTTGGTCTTGAACTCCCGGGCAAGTCTTGCACCTGACCTGTACTCTCTTTTAAATGATTTGCCTTTGGCAGTTATTTTTTAATAACTTTGTACAGTTAACATTAAAAAAAATATGAGGCCCAGTGCAGTGGCTTACACCTGTAATCCCAGCACATTGGGAGGCTAAGGTGGGTAGATCCTCTGAGGTGAGGAGTTCAAGACTGGCCAATATGGCAAAACCCCGTTTCTACTAAAAACACAAAAATTAGCCAGGCGCAGTGGCAGGCGCCTGTAATCCCAGCTACTCAGGAGGCTGAGGCAGGAGAATCACCTGAATCCCAGAAGTGGAGGTTGCAGTGAGCTGAGATCGCATGATTGAACTCCAGCCTGGACCTTGTCTCAAATCAATCAATCAATCTATAATGTGCTACGGAACTGTGAGAGAATACATTTGTGTTGTTTTAAGCCACCCAGTTTGTGGGACTTTGTTAATGGTAGCCCTAGGAAATTAATAGAGGGGAATCAAGAGTGAAACTCCATCTCAAAAAAAAGAATAAATATCTCAGGAAGCTTCCTTTTTTTTTATCACAGTAAAATCAAAGAAAGTTTGCATAAATTTAAGTACCATTTTATTGCCTATTTGTTTGCTTTGTTATGATCTGTTTTCATCTGAATATGAATATTTCATCTCTTCTCCTTTATTTCCTCTGTATCCCTTATCAAGTACCTTTTTGATCTGTGATTTATTTTTTATTTTAATCAGTTCTGAATCACTGTATTTGGATACTTTTATTTCTGTCTCATCTCAGTTTCTTTTCTTATAACTAGGACTTTCTGTTTCTAAGCCAGCCATAATCTCCTCATTGGAGCAAGGAAAGGAGCCCTGGATGGTTGTGAGGGAAGAGTCAGGAAGATGGTGCCCAGGTGAGTGAGCAAGCACAGGAAGCTCTTGCAGGGAGCAGGCCACCTGGTCAGAATGTTGGGTTGGCAAGGTTATTTTAAAGCAAATACTTAAGGAAAACCTAATTTCAAAACATATCACAAAGCTATAGTAATCAAACAGTGTGGTACTGACATAAAGACAGACATGTAGACTAATGGAATAGAATAGAGATCCCAGAAATAAATACTTGCATAAAGAGTCAAATGATTTTAGACAAGGGTGTCAACACTTTAGTGGAGAAAACTCTATTATCCACAGGCAAAGGAATACTATTGTACCCTTATCTTACACCATATAGAAAAATTAACTCAGAATGGATCAAAGACCTTGGCCAAGCATGGTGGCTCACGCCTGTAATCCCAGCACTTTGAGAGGCCAAGGCAGGCAGATCACGAGGTCAGGAGATCGAGATCATCCTGGCCAACATGGTGAAACCCCATCTCTACTAAAAAATACAAAAATTAGCTGGGCATGGTAGCACATGCCTGTGATCCCAGCTACTCAGGAGGCTGAGGCAGGAGAATCACTTGAACCAAAGAGTTGGAGGTTGCAGTGAGCCGAGATCACACCACTGCACTCCAGCTTGGCGACAGAGCAGACTGTCTCAAAAAAAAAAAAAAAAAAAAAAAAAAAAAAAAAAAAAAAAGAATGGAAAAGAATGGATCTGAGACCTAAATGTGAGAGGTAAAACTATAAAACTCTTAGAAGAAAACATTGGAGAAAAGCTTCATGATACTGGATTTGGCAATGATTTGTTGTGTATAACACCAAAAGCACTGGCAACAAAAGCAAAAATAGACAAATGGGACTACATCAAACCTAAAAACTTCTGTATATCAAAGGGCACAATCAACAGTGTTTATTAATTTTGTTTGTTTGTTTTGAGACAGGGTTTTGCTCTGTCACTCAGGCTTGATGGAGTGCAGTGATACAAACTCGGCTCACTGCAACCTCTCCCTTCTTGGCTTAAGCAATCCTCCCATCTCAGCTTCTTGAGTAGCTGGAACTACAGGCACATACCACCATGCCTGGCTAATTTTTTAAATTTTTTGCAGAGGTGAGGTCTCGCTATATTACCCAGCCTGGTCCCAACATCCTTAAGCAATCCTCCCACCACAGCCTCCCAATGTGCTAGGATTATAGGCATGCATCACTGTGCCCAGCCTGTTTATTAATTTTTTAAAAGATTCAGGCTGGGCTCAGTGGCTTACACCTGTAATCTCAGCACTGGGGAGGCTCAAGTGGGAGGATTACTTGAGCTTAGGAGTTTTGACCTATCTGGGCAACATAGCAAAAGTCCTGTCTTTACAAAAAATTAAAAATTAAAAAAAATAGCCAGGCATGACAGTACGTGCCTGTAGTCCCAGATGTTCAGGAGACTGAGATGGGAGGATCGCTTGAGCCCAAGAGTCTGAGACTACAGTGAGTCAAGATCGTACTACTTTATTCCAGTCAAGGTGACAGTGCAAGATGCTCTCTCAAAATAAATAAATAAATAAAAGATTCATACAGGTTGCTTTGCTAGGTGATGGCAATACATTTTTAAAGTATTATGGAGACATTTTTAATTTAGTAGGGGATCAAGAATACATGGATGTTCTAATAGAATCTCTAGGGAAAAAAATGGTTAGAAATTAGGAAAGTTAGAAAAAGTAATATATGACTATATTGAGGAGGTGGAGATGGCAGAGGGATGATTGAGAAGGGAGGAGGTCAACTAGGAAAGTTCAGGGTGCTATAGGCCAAGAGCAGATCCATTCTATAGGCCAGAGTTCTTTGATGATGTCTGTGACTGATTAAAGTGCTACAGGCTGAATATGGTGGCTCATGCCTGTAATCCCAGGACTTTGGGAGGCCAAGATAGAAGGATTGCTTGGGCCTAGGAGTTTGAGACCAGTCTGGGCCATATAGCAAGACCCTGTCTCTACCGAGAAAAATTAAAAATTAGCCTAGCATGGTGGCATGCACCTGTAGTCCTGGCTACTCAAGGGGCTGAGTTGGAAGGAATTGCTTGTACTGGGGAGGTCAAGGCTGCAGAAAGCCATGATTCTGCCATTGCACTCTAGTCTGGGTAACAGAGCAAGACCCTGTCTCAGTCAATCAATAAAATGTTACAGAACTGTGGATCACGAGGTCAAGAGATCGAGACCATCCTAGTCAACATGGTGAAACCCCGTCTCTACTATAAATACAAAAAAAAAAAAAAAAATAGCTGGGCATGGTGGCGCATGCCTGTAATCTCAGCTACTCAGGAGGCTGAGGCAGGAGAATTGCCTGAACCCAGGAGGCGGAGGTTGCGGTGAGCCGAGATTGCACCATTGCACTCCAGCCTGGGCAACAAGAGTGAAACTCCGTCTCAAAAAAAAAAACAAAAAAGACACAAACAAAAAAAAGAGATCGAGACCATCCTGGTCAACACGGTGAAACCCCGTCTCTACTAACAATACAAAAAATTAGCTGGGCATGGTGGTACGTGCCTGTAATCCCAACTACTCAGGAGGCTGAGGCAGGAGAATTGCCTGAACCCAGGAGGCGGAGGTTGTGGTGAGCCGAGACCGTGCCATTGCACTCCAGCCTGGGTAACAAGAGCAAAACTCCGTCTCAAAAAAAACAAAAAAAAAAAAACCAAATTATGTAATTTCATGAATGTTACATAAATGGAATCCTGTATATGGGTGTTTGTTTTTTACATTTATGTACAAATTTATACATGAAAATAAGTCTTCATTTGTTTACAGTAAATGCTCAAGAGTGTAGTTGCTGGGTGGTGTGATAAATCCATTTTAAGTTTTGCAAGGAGCTGCCAAATTATTGTCCACAATGGTGGTACCGTTTTACATTCTTACAGCCATGTATGTGTGATCCAGTTTCTCTAGTCATAGCCAGCTTTTGGTGTTATAATTTTTTTTCATTGTAGCTATTCTATTAGGTAGGTAACTATATCTCATTGTGGTTTTAATTTGAATTTCCTTAATGACAAATAATGTTGAACAACTGTGTGTGCCATCTGTGTATCCTGTTGATTGAAATATCTCTTCATGCCTTTTGCCTATTTTCCAGTTTGGTTGGTTTTTTACTGTTGAGTTTTCAAAGTTCTTTTTGTATCTTAGACAGAAGCGCTTTGCTGGATATATGACTTGCAAATATTTTCTTCCAGTCTGTAATTTATTTTTTTATCCTTTTAACAGGGTCTTTGCAGAGCAAAAGTTTTTAAATTTGATGAGTTCTAATTTATCTTTTTTTTTTCCTCTTCTGAATTGTGGTTTTTGGTGTGTGTGTGTGTTTAGTGTAATGCCTAAGAACTTTTTGCTTAGTCAAAGTTCTAAAGGTCCTTATGATTTTCTCTAATCTGTTTTAGAAATTTTATAGTTTTACATTTTTCATTTAACTTTGTGGTTCATTTTGAGTTCATTTTTATAAAGTTGTGAGATTTAGATGAAGGTTCTTTTTTTTTTTCTATGGATGCCCATAGCATTTATTTATAAGTTATCCCTTCTCAGGTGAATAGCTTTTTCACCTTTGTCAAAAATTAGTTGTGCACATTTGTGTGGCACTATTTCTGGGTTCTCTGTTCTGCTGCATTGATCTTTGTGACCATCTCTCTTCTAATGCCACCTTTCATGATGGCTGCAGGTATATAGTAAGCCTTAATAGTGGAAGGAGTGATTCTTCCCACTGTGTTATTTTTCACAATTGTTTTGGCTATCCTTAGGACCTTTTTCTTTGCATATAAGTTTTAGAAAAGCTTGTCTGTGTCTACAAAAAACTTGCTGAGATTTTCATGGGAATTGTGTTAAGTCTATAGCTGAAGTAAGAGAGAACACCTTTACTCTGTTGAGTCTTCCAAAGCATGAACACAGCCTGTCTCTCTAAATATTTTTGTTTTCCTTGATTTGTTTTATTAGCATCTTACAATTTTCATTATACAGAATCTGTACATGTTTTGTTATTTTTATACCTAAGTATTTCATCTTCTTTGGAGCATTTGTAAAGGGCATTGCATTTTTATATTGGAGTGCAGTTGATTTTGTGTATTAATCCTGTGACCTTACTCAACTTAAATATTAGTACTAGTTTTTTTTTTCTATTTTTTCTTAGAGATTTATACTTATAAACAAATTATCTACAATCATTTTCTTTTCATATTGTAATCTATGACTTTTATTTCTTTTTCTTACCTTATTAGAATGGCAAGAACTTCTAATACTATGTTGAATAAGGGTGGTAAAAGTGGACATCTTTATGTTCTCCCTATTTTGGAAGGAAAGCATTCAGTCTTTTAATGTTAAGTAGGATGTCAGTTCTAAGAATTTTGTAGATGCTTTATATTATAAGGTTGAGGAAATTCCCTTCTCTTTATAATGCCCTGAGTTTTTTTAAAAATATGAATGAATATTGGGCCGGGTGCGGTGGCTCAAGCCTGTAATCCCAGCACTTTGGGAGGCCGAGGCGGGTGGATCACGAGGTCAAGAGATCGAGACCATCCTGGTCAACAAGGTGAAACCCCGTCTCTACTGAAAATACAAAAAATTAGCTAGACATGGTGGCACGTGCCTGTTATCCCAGCTACTCAGGAGGCTGAGGCAGGAGAATTGCCTGAACCCAGGAGGCGGAGGTTGCGGTGAACCGAGATCGCACCATTGCACTCCAGCCTGGGTAACAGGAGCGGAACTCGGTCTCAAAAAAAAAAAAAAAAAAAAAGAATATTGATGTGATCATGTTTTTTTTTTTAATCATATTTATATGTTACATTGAACAATTTTCCAATATTAAATGAGCTTCTTATACCTAGAATAAATTACAATGAGTCATGGTATATTATTATTATTATTATTATTTTTTTTTTTTGGAGACGGAGTTTCGCTCTTGTTACCTAGGCTGGAGTGCAATGGCGCGATCTCGGCTCACCGCAACCTCTGCCTCCTGGGTTCAAGCAATTCTCCTGCCTCAGCCTCCCAAGCTGGGATTACAGGCAGGCGCC